ACAAGTTTTAGGTAACCGTATAGCAAAGAAAAGAAACAAAGACTTGGAGTTCAATGGTACGATAGTATTACATCCGAGATAGGAGCATATGGGAAGTACAACTGAAGCACACATCATGGATGATGAGTAAGATTCTGAAAGCAAAGAAGACTTTTGAAGAAGCAGGATTCACATTTGAAGACATCAGAAGGATGAGCAAGTGTTCAATCAAGCAAATATATCATGCTTTGAGAGGAAGTTTCAACAAAGTGAGCTGGAGAAGACTGGTGTGCAGAAATGCTGGATGTCCAAGATGGACTTTCACACTAACAATAGCAGCTCATGGGAAGTTATACACTAAAGATAGGCTGAGTAAATGGGGAGTGCAAGTTGATCAGATGTGTGTCCTGTGTACAAAAGAGAATGAAACAGTACAACATTTATTTTTTGAATGCTCCTTTGCAGCTAAGTTGTGGGGTAATCTGCTACAATGGCAAGGGATAAATAGAATAGTATATGGATGGAATGAGGAATTAGCTTGGGATGAGGACTGGGTGAAGAGACAAAATGCAAACACTGAGCTGTATAAGATGACACTGGCGGCATGTGTATACCATGTATGGCAGGAAAGAAATGCCAGGATATTCGAAGAAAAGAAGAGGAAATGGGAGATGCTGGGCAAGCGGATTATACAAGAGATACATTGTAGAAGCAACAAACGAGTAGAAAAGGCTTTAGGTAGATTAGATTGGTAGGCAATGTAAATAGTTTAATGTTATAGATATAAGGAAGAAGTAAATGGGGTAGTGGTACAGAATGATTAGGATATATGTAAAGGGTTATTGATTTACTTGTAAAAATTTCCCTGGTAAATGAAAGTTTAATTACCAAACAAAGACTAATTGCACAGTAAAAACACTAACCCGCAATTGGTATTTATTTCAAACCAATAGCAGGGGGCGGATGCACAGTTAACGAAGCGGTGCCACACGACACTGTTTCGTCGGAATATTTTACTAATATATGTATCAATACTACGAGAAAATGGATAAGTTGGAAAAAATGACACCACTTGACATAAATTGTCTCTTGGCATGTTGGTTACGTGCTTGGTTTTTCTTTAAGAGGTCAGAAACCTTAACTAATATATTTTTTTGGCGTAATGGCTTTCTGGCCACTTAAACTTGTAGGGTTTTTGAAAGCCGATACACGAACTTTAAATTTTCCCATTTGAACACTCAAACTTGACAAAATGGGTACTAATAAACACATCCACCAGAGCGTGTATATCAATTGCGCTGACGTGTATATCAATTGCGCTGACATGTACAACACATCATGCTAAGCTATTTATGGCTTGCCATGTGTTATTTGTGGGTCCTATTTTTAAATATAAAATAAGAAAAAAAAGTTACAAATACAAAAAAGGAAAAAAGAAAAGAAAAAATGCCTAAAACATACCCTGTACCCAAACGCCCCCTTCTTCTTCGTTCACCCTCCTCCCTTGATTTCTTTACTTTTCTTTCTTCTCCTTTCTCTTTTTCTTCATTATTCTTTCTCTCTTATTTTTAAATCAAATTCACAACATCACTAAATAGAACAAAAGGTTTAGAGGGTCAGCTTCGAGTTCTACCAAATCGGCGAAGAAATCCTCGAGAGAGTGGTTCGATGATGAGTCTGGTAATATTAGCTGATAACTGTCTTTAGAGAATTCGACATCACGCATTTCCACAGCAAGATGATGATCATGCCTTAGGTCTTGTAATTCGGCCACCTCTTCCTTCACTTTTGAAATATTCACTTGTGCAACAGTAGTACTAGTATTGTTTTGTTGATCATCTTTTGAATTAGTGTTGTTCTTAGAGGTTGAAGTAGTAGTGTGTTTGGAATTATTAGGCTGAGACCTGGTTGAACCAGCGAGGGCATTTCTCTGGGTTGGCCAAGGATGATTGTGCTCTGATGTGTAGGTGATGACTAATATGTTTGGGTCTGTCCTGCTCCTTTCCACTTGTTTCCTTGCTGAACATTATTGAAGGGGAAGATGAAGGGAAAAAAACAGAGAAAGGTGAGGGGAAGAGAAATTAGGATGAGAAATGAAAAAATTGGGTGGGAATTTTGTTCGGAAGAGGAAAGAATTGGACGGGGGGAGGAGAGAGAAGAGGAAGGGAAAAGTTTTTTTTTTTCTTTTTTAATTTTTTTATTTATATTTTATTCTAATTCTAATTTTTTTTAGTAAAAACAATACCATTCACGCGCCTTGGCAGTGTGATTTGCACACAGTTTAGCCATGTCAGCTGCAGTCCTTCCACATAGGCATGATCAACGGTCAAAAGTGTTTATTAGTACCCATTTTGTCAAGTTTGAGTGTTCAAATGGGAAAATCCAAAGTTCGTGTATCGGCTTTCAAAAACCCTACAAGTTTAAGTGGTCAGGAAGCCATTTCGCCTATTTTTTTTGCGAATATTTGAGAGAGCCTTGTGGTTAATATTTTTGATTAAGTAGAATTGAACTCAGTACCTTTTCTAACTGTAGACTCAACAAAACAAATAGACTAATGCTACTTCTTATATAGAAGTATGATAAGTAAACTTATTATTCCCGTTCTTCTATAAATTTCGACACCACTTGCAAAAATTTCTGCGTGCGCCCCTGACCAATAGAATCATTGCATATGTTTGTACATAGAATTCTATCACTTAATCATGATTAATGACTGATTAATATATATATATATATATATATATATATATATATATATATATAATTTATTAAAATTAATATAGTTAGTTGAATTACTTTGGTCTAAACACCAGAAATATTTACTCTAATTGCACAATTGTATTTCTATGTATGGGAACATATTATTTTAAAGGGAAATTACCAGCTATGTCCATTTATAAGTAGCTCATTACAAAAATTGGCCAATTGATAAAATATTACTAATATTAGCCAAATTAGCCAATTAGCTATTTGTAGCAAAAAAATATTAAATTTTTGCTTTGTTTTGAGTAGGTGTTATTAGAATATATTGGACACAAATTAAAGAGCTTAAATCTCAGTTTTGGGATGATTTGGTGAAGTTTTGAGGTGGTTTGAATTGAAAATTCGAAGTAAAAGCTGAACAGAAAAAAAATGATATGTGTATCACAGTCTGTATCATTTGTGTATCACATATGTATCATGTTTGTATCTATTGTGTATCACATGTATATCCAATGTATACCTGTGTGTGAGATACATGCGTGATACATGTTTGATATATGTGCGCAGAAGACTTTTTTGAACTCGATTTAATTACGAATTTTGATACAAAACCAGCCCAAATCGCCTCCAATCTTCCTCAAATTTTGTATATTGACTTATCTATATATTTTCAATGAATTTCAACTATACCCATTGAAAAAGTTCCTTTTTTGATTAGATTTTTGAAATATTGTATAGATTTTTGTATTTCATCACCTTATTTGCTACCCCGTCCATGAAATTTCCTTTCCGTCTTGTATCTAATGTTGCTAATCACGCTTAAAATATGAAAGGTAATTTTTGCATGTGATTCTTTGATAGAAAGAACCCTATAATTTGGTTTTTCAATTTTTATTGGCTAGTTTTGATAAGTCTATAACTAATAGATAGAGATTGGTAAGTTATGATTTATTTGGGACATTTGTGTAAGTTCCTTATTTTAAATTGGTATGTGGGTGTATTTGTGAACCAAGATAGGCACCATTACAATTAAGAGATTAATTGATTTCCCAAATTAGACCAACCGTTGAATCCCGCTTACGCTTTCCCACTTCTCTCTCTTTCCTTCGTTGGCCCCCCATTTCTGCATCTTCGCCATTTCTGAAAGAAACGGGGGATCACGACCATTTTCTGGGAAGAACAAAATTCTTTGAAGAATAAGCAGAGCATTAGATTATCCCATTTATGGATCTCTGAAGAAAAAATCAATCTTCCCAATCTACCCTTTTCCTCGTCTAGTCAACCTCCAACGAAAGTCATTCCTAACTGGTCCCCATAAGATGTCCTAAGTCTTCAATATCGACATTTCGAGGTTATAACATTTTAGCTGTTTCTTCAAGATTAGTACCCGGGGAGCAAAGGTTATAAGGTCTTTCGATTTTCCAAACCCTAGATTCGAATTTGGGGGATTTGGGTCCGACCCAAATGGAAGGAAGCTTGGGAAGACTTAATTTTTGTTGAAGATTTGATTTTTCCCCATGTAATGCATGGATCGGACATTGTCGATTTGGGTCTTTTTCTGTTTCTTTGCTATTTCTGTGCAGTCTCAGGGAAATGTAAATCCCCCCAATTCACAATCACCGCCGCCGCCGCCATATTCTCCTCCGCCACCACCTCCACCGTCGCCGCCACCTCCACCATCACCTGTGCCTCCTCCCCCTCCCCCTCCCCCTTTATCACCGCCCCCGCAGTCTCCACCATCGGCTCCTCCACCTCCACCGCCCACCCAAAAAGCTCCTCCTCCACATCACCACCACCACAAAAACCACCATAAATCTGACATTAAAAGCCCGCCACCACCACCACCACCAAAAGAAAAGACGTTAAATTGGGGGAAGAGACTAGGGTTAATGTTCGTGGGCATTGCGGCGATCTTGCAAGTCTGTGTGGTGGCGTTTCTGATAATTAAGAGAAGGCAATTGTTGAAGGCTGATGCTAGATTTTGAAAGGACACACATTTGTAATTTGAATCTGTTTATGGATTCCATTTCTTTGACTAATTATTTGCTTAGCTTGGCGGAGCATGTTTTTATATATAGCGAGTGAGTTATACAGATTGAGATTCTTTAAAACAACCAGCTTTGGCAAATGAATTATGGCAATCCATGGATTACAAAAGGATTCAGCGGAAGATTGGTGTCTGCATTTCTGTTTTCGCTCTTGTAAATTGGTAATTCTTGATTGGCATTAATTATTAGCAAAATTTTTCCTTAATTTTCCATTGTTCTCTTTGTTGGAATTTTGTCCATTTTTCTTCTGGCATTTTATTGTGAATATTACGGATTTGTTTTTGACTGTGAATGATCCGGTGCTAATTGATGTTTCTCATTTGTGCCATTGTTTGGAATTTTATCTTCTTATACTTAGCTATTGCTTTTGGTGAACTTTTTATATAACGGGGAGCCTAAAGTAATGATTGAGTCCACTAGTGATCTAGCTATGAAGAGATATGTTGTGCATCTTTGCTTCCGTTTTAGTGGAATATTTTTGATATTTTATCGTGAGAGTTCTGCAATTTAGCAGAAATCTAATGTGATTATTGAAGTGCATTCTCCATTGAAGTAGAGTGTGAAAAGGGTCTTTCTTCACAACCTGTTGAAGTTTGAACTAGCTAAAGTTATGCGTAGGAGCTAGGAATACGTTTTGTAAGCTCAAATGCCAAATTACGTACTTTTTCTTGCATCTTCTTGATGCCTTCTATGGAGATCACTTACTTTATCATAAAAAGTTTGAACTAGCTCAAGTTTGAGTAATATGTGGATGAAGTGGCTAGAGTATAAAATGTCTAGAGTTGAACTATTGTAACTTTGAGAAATATAGATGAAGGAGCTTATGTGAAGAAGCATAGGTATTTGTACTTGATTGCTCATATGTGAAAGAATCATTTTCAAGTTCTTAACTAGTATCATATTATATTTTGGCTGCTTATCTTTGTTGCATGACTTAGGCTATTCAAATAGCCAGAAATCATGTTTTACTGCATAAAAAAGGGGTGAATTCATTCCGAGAGTTCTTAAAACTTTTCTTAAAATCTTATGAAAGAGGGCCAACTATATCGGTTAGAAACTAACTAGTTAGAAAGATGGGTAAAGTTGACCTTATAAACAAAACCTAGTTATAAACCAGAACTTAGTTTGACATTGGTTGATACTGAAATTTAAATTGCGTTTGTTAATATTTTTTCTTGATAAACATTAACTGAGATATGAAGTTATGTTTACCGGCAATTATTTGGCTTGGTTTCGTTTGTTTGTATTTGTGGTTGTCTACAAATGCCGGCTCTTGACCGTTAAATTTTCATATTGTAGGTCATAAAGGAAACTTTTTGCCTCCTTTGTCATATTTAAGGAACTGGCTTGGATTTGTTTTGAGGAACAATTTAAAATTCGTATCCTTTGTCCGGTAAGAAATGGACCTTGTAGGGAAGCCAAGATACTGTTGTTAGAGGCATGACTTGGTCGAGCTACTGATTTGTATCATAGAGATTGAACAAACAATCCATATATGGTATAATATAATTCTAGTATTGTCTCTGATGTGAAAAAACTGCACAGGCAGAATTACTTGGGTTTCTACATAGAATTTATCACACTTGAACAGTTATGAGCCTCACTAAATAGGGTTTTTTTTTGTTGTTATATATATCTGAAATATGCTTCTTTTTTGCACTATCAAGATTGTTAAATCTGTTTGTCTTCTTAGGAAGTGAAAATGAGCTTTATATCGTCTTACATGTTTGCATATTTTAGTTTAATTTTATGGCATCTACTTCATTTTGGAGGATACTAGCCTAAATCAATAGCCTAAATCAAACTGTGACTTGTGTGTAATGCTGTTAAGATTCAAACTTGATATCTACCTGGGAACTCCTTTTTTCTTCCTTTTCTGGGTTGACTTGGAATTTTATATAATGCTTACCGAGTTTCTGTAAGGTTGTGCTTTGTTTGAGCTTCAATTGTTTGGCAAATTTCATGGAATGGAGTCTGTTGATGGGTGGTCCAATTACCTTTTGTTAAGTTATTATGTTTGGATTGCCTCACCTATACTGCTTAACTCTAGAAGTTATTTTAGAGGACTACGTGATTAGCCCAGTGATTAGCCCAACCACCAGGACTCTATAATCTCTATGTTGCAGTTTTATCTAGTTCTAAATGGAATGTCATCTTTGACTTGGGACAATGATTTTTTTTTTAAAGATGAAAATTGTATTCCTGTGCCAAAGCTGAAGATAAAATCCACTACTTGAAAATCTGAAATGAGTTGATACTACAAAGGGTTCATTTGCTTTTTAGGTGTTAGTAAAACTAAGGAAGAAAAATCATCAAGTAGTGTAGAGAAAAGGAAAGAAGTTTCGTTTGTAAAAAATAAAACAGCTTTGAATGATATTTATGAGTTAAGCTGGTGTCCCAACTGATAATATCAAGTAAACTTTGAGAAAAGTGTATATTAGAAATCTATCAAATTGAACTAAACGTCGACTCCATGTACTGCGAAATCACTTATGGACATTTACCAGAATGTGCACCATTCCTTTTTAGAATATTTGGAACTTAACGTTGATATTACCACCAAAACTTTTATCAAAATTTGAAGCTTTTTTCTTTGAGAAACATTTGAACAAAACTTTTTCCAGAGAGTCATTGTTCGTTGAGATATTATTCCACGGAATTAGGGGTGTTCATAAAAACCCGAAAAACCGAACCAAACCGAAAATCAAATCAAACCGATCAAAAAAACCGATACATTTTGGTTTGGTTTGGTTTTGGTTTTGAATTTTAAAAACCGATCAAATTTGGTTTGGGTTTGGTTTTAATCAGATAAAAACCGAACCAAACCGACTATAGGAATAACTATTTTAAATTTATTATTACACCTATATATATGTATATTTTTATACAAAGTTTCAAAAAATTTATGGTAAATGTTAATAGTTTGCCACTTTTAGTATAGTTCTTTACCTTTACATTCTAGTTTGATTGGTAGTTTTCTTTTGTTAAGTGTAAGAATCCATTTCGTGTTAAAAATAATATATTTTTAATTGAGTCCTTAAATTATTTATCACTATTTGATTCAATTATCATCAATATATCTTGGTAAATAATAGATTTTTTAAAGGGCAATTGATTTGATAGTGTTACATTGAAAATGTGGTCGCCGGAGTATGTGTTTGGTAGTTTATGTCTTATATTTAAGAAAAAACCGACAAATAACCGAAAAAATCAAAAAACCGACAAAATCCGACATAAACCGAATCGAGAAAAAACCGACTTAATTGGTTTGGTTTGGTGCTAATATTTGAAAAACCGACTTACTTGGTTTGGTTTCTTTTTAGGGAAAAACCGATCCAAACCGAACCATGAACACCCCTACACGGAATCAGTTAACAGTGTGTACACAATAGGAGAAGGTAGTATCTTCTCTAAGTTTCCATAACAAGGTAGGGTTGCATCATATGAGTTATCAATTAAGGCAAAATTTATCTGCATATTTTGCCCTCTTGGTATGACTTAGAATGGTGATGGAACCAGAGGCGGAGCCAGGATTTGAAGCTTCTGAGTTTAGAATTCTAGTTTGTTTATGTTACTGGGTTCTAAAATTAACAATTTATAAATATTTAAAAAAAAAACGCCTCGTTTGGATCAAAGTTACTGGGTTCGACCGAACCGCAAATCTTATGCGGGCTCCGCCCCTGGATGGAACTGTGGAAGGGCAATTGCTATTGTCCACATAATTCCTTGTTCACGATAGGGTGTATTGGCCAATTGCCATGCATTTTAGCTACTTAGGAAGACCAAAAATTGCATTATACCTTTGATGCGTTTCTGGATTCGAGCTGTCAATTGTGTCTTCTTATAGACTTCTCCTTTTCCTCCCTTTCTCCCACCATGTGCCCTTATTTAGGACCACTTTCATTTACTCAACTCCTTGATCTTTTGAGGCAATTTGCACAAATGACCTCTTTTGTGGTCACTACTTAAATTCTTTTTCTGGCATCATGTATATAATCTTCTGGTCATTTGTATCTTTTGAGCAATTTACGCACTGCTCACTTACTTTACTGTGATAAAAAGATTATATTATAACCTTACTGTTACAGTGGATAAAGATCGGATAGTTTTGTAACTTAATTGTTGTAGTGGATGAAATTTAGTGACCACCTTTTTCTGAGGTCATTTAGTTAATTATGTTTCTTATTAGTTTGGGCTAAACTCGTCTACGTAAAAGAGAAACTTATCCAATTATTTTTTTTTTACAGGAAATTACACCTAGTGACCTTAAAAATAGATGGTCTTGAACTTTTGACTTCCGCTTGCGCTATGAGCAAATATTCAAGGTCAAAAGTCAAAAATTTACCCATGGGCAAAACTTGTTAAATTGACACCATTCATGATCATGATAGCCCTATCACACAATTTGTGGTTATCATTCTCTATCAGAATTCAAGTGGCACTCAATTTGCTCCTTTTCTCTTTAATGCTCAAATTCTCAATCATTCACTCAATTTCCTATATATATGCACACACCAAACTAACCTGCATTGCTTGCAAATTTCATATACAAATTAAATTGTTCCTACCAAGAAAGGAAATTAAAAATGTTTAAACTTCTCTTTCTCTTGGCTATCTTTATCTTGGGCAGCAATGCTGCTGTCCAAGATTTCTGCGTCGCAGACCTAAAAGGCCCAGAATCACCTGCTGGCTATTCTTGCAAAAGTGTAGCCAATGTAACAGTGAACGATTTCGTGTTTTCTGGGCTTAGTGCAGCTGGAAACACAGCAAGCATAATCAAAGCTGCAGTTACACCAGCATTTGCAGCCCAATTTCCAGGCCTTAATGGGCTTGGGCTTTCTGCAGCCCGTTTGGACTTAGCCCCAGGTGGTGTAATTCCATTTCACACTCACCCCGGTGCTTCTGAAGTTTTACTTGTAGTTCAAGGTTCAATTACAGCTGGTTTTGTTTCTTCAGCAAATACTGTTTACTTAAAAACACTTAAAAAAGGTGATCTTATGGTATTTCCACAAGGTTTATTGCATTTTCAAGTGAGTGATGCTGGTTATACTTCTGTTGGTTTTGTGTTTTTTAGTAGTTCAAATCCTGGACTTCAGATTACAGATTTTGCATTATTTGCTAATGATTTGCCTACTAAGTTGGTAGAGGCTACCACTTTCCTTGACGAAGCTACAATAAAGAAGCTCAAGGGTGTTCTTGGAGGAACTAACTAAGAATCTACCAATGAAGTAGAAGCTGTTTATCCTTTTCTTTTTCAGTAATTTCCTTGTCTGTACTTCTTGTTGACAATTGGATTTTGTAATTTGTGTTGTTTATGATTCTTTC